AGGCAAGAGAGGACCGAGGCTCCTGCTGGCCCTGTAACAGATAAGACAGCTCTGGGTAATCTGACTCAAAGTCCACGGATAAAGGCAGTTTGTCTCTTCTTGGGCCGTCTGTCCACACCTACAGGGTAATTAGGCCTAATTATGAGAGAAAGGTCCGCTTCCCCTTCATGTTATTAAATGAGAGCCAGCCTCGTCCGCCAAGAATCTCTCAACACCAGCAAGGGGCTGGCGACCTTCAGATCAAACACAGCGACTATCTGTGCCCCCCTTTGACTGCACCACCGCCCGTTACCCTCCTCAGCATCACTGCACATATGAAGAGGGAGGGGACACACAGGACAGTCGTTATGATACGGGGCATCAAAGTTTTTTGTTTTTTTTGTTTTTCCAGCAGAGTTGGAGGGGAGAGTCCTGCACATTCCTCGCTTGGTGCTGTATCACGTGATCGGACGCTACCCTCCCGAGCTCCTGACTTGTGGGACTGTGCCATTCATAAATATAAAGAGCAGGCAGAGAAGGATATACTGATCACAGGGGTTGATTATGGGACCTTTTATAATGCCCCAGCTTCACAAGAGCCATTATGGAGCCATGGAATCCCAAGATCCCATTCTGTGATACGAGCCTCATCAAATATGAGATCTGAGCTGCATGATGAAAACCCAAAGCAGATTACACATAGCTCAAAAGCTCCAGTCTAGATGTGCCCTCAATGAAAAACCTACTTTATAACCTATCAAACCAGTAAAATTCCTTTTCTAAGCCAACAAAGGTCAAGAAAAAGCTTCCAGATTCTTCTAAGGCCACTACATCATACCTCAACTATTAGTCATACTTCACGATTAGCTGTTTATCAAAGGCAATGCTCTTATCTGCTGCTTCCCTGCTTTTTCTGGTCATAATGGCATTTCCACCTCGCTTGTTGATCAGTGGGCAGTGAGCTGATTCTACAACCATTAGTCAGCCCTTCTTGCCTCAGCCCTCCCCCTTTCCAACTAATACAGGTCCTCCTGAGGAGGAAACCAATGTGCCAAATAGAGAGCGAGCTCCATTATAAACATGCAGCTAGAAAAACAGAATGGGAAGTGGCAAGGAAGACACACACCCTTTATTGTGTCTTGGTGGGGGTAATCTGGACTGGATAAACAGCCCAGCGTCAGATAGAGGCTGAAGTCAGACACAAGTGCACCAACACCCACTGTCAGTCACAGATCCAATGAGCGGGAAGAGGCAGCATTGTTCGCGTGAATGGCGTGAATGCTAAGCAGGGGCCACTGCAGATAAGGGCTCAATGCCTTGTGGGAGTCACTGATGCAGACACTGATGGAGCACCATGTCAGAAGGTCCTGATTTAGGAGGTTCTGACTGTGGTCAACAGGTACCAAGAGCCTTATCTGTTTGCATTATCACCCATTTCCTCCATCAGGTCATTTGCCTGGGCACTAGAGGAAAAAGGCACACAAGAGGGTCGACAGCTCGAGGGTCATCATACATCAACGCACATTTTGGGTGTGATCACCTTCGGATATATGGGGATTATGCTGTCAACGCAGCAAATATAGGAAAACAAGTGCATTCTTATTATGCGCTAATTCAAAAAAGACATCATGCATTGAGCGTTGCGGAACACAGGAAACAGCAAGTTGCTACACTTTGTCAGACTGCACATCCCCCACTCCTTCAGCTGTCAGTCATCTTCAGGGGCAGCGATGAGTGACTGAATGCACAAATCAATGGTGAAAAGTTTGACAACGGGATAACTAGTTGTAGGTGGTGAACGGCTTCTGGAGTTCAACCAGAACGGACTCTTAAATGTGACTGAGTAACAAAACACCATTTACAACACCTGTCCAGCACCTGTGCATCCCTCAAAGGCTCTATAGGCTCCATATTCATTGCTTTTCTAATACAATAACTAACTTTATAACCTGTAAATACCCAAAAAGAATTTCAAAGATGATATGTAATAGACACATATGCTCATTAAAAAGAATTGATTTTAAAAATGTAATATTCTCCTTGACTTATTTCTCACACTCCATTCTTCAATAAATAAAAAAATGTATAAATATTTATATAAACCTCCCTCACAACTATTTCCAACACATGTCAAAAGGAACATAAGCTGTAGCTATCACTACAAACTTCGCTCAAAAAAATATAGTACTTTTAAGTACCCTTCTGACCCACAGGAATGGTACACCGTGTATTTTATCCACAAGAGTGGATCCACAACAGAAATATAGCTCTCATGTTAATACAGCTCAGATAAGCTGCCCTCCACGCAGATGCTGGACTTCACATCCGGGATTTTCATTATTCGTTATCTACTGAAGGAGATATGTTACACAAGCCTTTGTTAAAATCTAAAATACTGACTGTAAAAAAATGTTTGGAGGTGCTTTGGTTTCTCTCGCGCGATGTTAGTAAGAAACGGGCTAACGTTAGCAACGTGGCTCGAAAATAGCCATAATAAACATATAGACCTTATTTTTAGATGTCAGGAGTTATTGCTGGGTATAGTGAGTACACAGTTTATGAAAAGAAGTAGACGCTTTAATGAATATTGTTAAAATACCATTTGAGCGAGACACCGGTGTTTTCACTGCAGCTGTGGGAGAGGCGATACAAAGCATGCGCCGCATCTGAAGGACCTCTATTTACAGAATATGAGCTGTCCGTGAAAGTGCCTGAACAGAACAGTCATTCACTTTTTCGCTCTCTCGCTTCCACTTTGTTTTTAAAAATTAAATCAGAAGAGTGCTTATTAATGTGGCACCCTGTACCTATGTACGACCCTTAATAGGCCTATTTTATATTGAACATGCCGTTCTCAACAAATCTCTGTACATTAAGACGTTAATGTTTCTTTATGTAAAAAGATTACTTAGTTTTTTAGAGCCACTAAACATTCCCTATCTAAAAAAGCGAAATATGGAACTTTTACAGCCTTGCAATACTACATGAACAGGGGAGTCTTTATATATTTTTTTCACCCTTTTTCAGTCTAATTGAGAAAGAGAGACAGAGAAAACACAGGGCCCTAATCCACAGAGCACACAGAGCCCTTTCATGGGAGTGCTGGGAGAGACCTTTATTTGTCCATTCCTATCACGGAGAAAGCGGGGTTTCAAGGTTGGCTAGGTCTAAGCTGGAAGATTAGATGAAACAGGAGTGTTTTAAACCTCTTCTGTGGCCATGGATTAGGGACAGTCAATCCCCCTACACTCCAAAAATTAAACAATACAGAGTACAGGTGGCTCAGTGGAAGAGAGTGCATAGTCTAAGAAAGAGAAGAAAGAGAATAACATTCATTTAACTTGAAAAACGGAGGGAAAAGGGGAGAAAAATATCTCTATACACTAGAATTTATTTGCAGACACACTAGTGTTTGATCGAGTAAAAACGTGTAACATTGTTATAATTACTTAGGAGTGCCAGTGCACCTAATTAACTAATGCAAAGGGTCATTTACACAGGCACTTCATGGCATACATGAAGAGAGTGAATGTCAGTTGTGAAGCAGTGAATGTTTGCACCAATTAGTGCAAATGGAGGTGGCAGTAACCCCTCAGCAGGAGGTGGGAGCAAGAGGTGTCCCCTGCCCTGCCTGGACAGATATCATGGCCCACATTATCATCAATTATTCCTGGCATCTCATCTTACCCATGAGCCGGGTGGGTGCAGGGGGTCAATGCCAGGGTGCCCTCTGCAGCAAGTGGCCTGGAGTCCACATGGAGAGGGTGACAGGGTGTGCAGTGTCATCCGTCCAAACCAAGAGGCCCAGTAAGGAAATCCCTGGAATCCCACTCCTGTTCCAGCTGGGGCAGCAGGTCACTTTACAGCTCATCACCAAATTAGAAAGGCTGGGCAGCAGGCAGACCACAGACAGACTGAAATAGATGGGAGTACTATGATTCTGTCTGTACCCTGAGACCATAAAGTAATGGTTACATGGTTTAGGTGCGGACATGGACTCCATAAGCAGAGTGATGAGCCTGAGGAGAGAAAACAAAGACAACTCATCCCAAGACACATTACCTCACACTACACAGTATTTTTCCAGTGGGTGATAATTAATGTGAAACTGTCACATACTTGATAGAAAGCAAAAAGCGTGCAAAAAATAAAAATCTGCTTAAAAATAGTTCAGCTCTTAAGGAACTGTGTTTGATTCAGTTTATGCAGGCGGTCAGAGGAGAAACTTGATTGTGTTTACTGAATGTAGTGCACTCTTTTAGGTCAGTTTAGCTGGGAAAAATGAAAGGACTTGATATATTGTTATAGCTTGTTACATTGATTAAAGTCTTTTTTTTTTAAGTTATAATGTATCAAAGGAGATGTAGCATTTTTCCTTAGTCTGTCTCATTATATATGGCAAAAGTTCCAAATAATAACATTTTGTGTATGTTATACCCGTGTGCTTAATGTTCACAGGTAAACTGCTAAATATGTTTTCTTTAAAACCACTTTTTTCTGCTCTTGGCTATATGTTATCAACAAGCATTATGCACCACCCACCTGCTATTTAAACCTTATGTTTGTGAGGGGCATCCAATCAGAAAAACACAGCCTTAACGGGAAGGAAAAGTGACATAAAATAGTTTGACAGGTGGATGAACTGAGGAGCTGCGACAAGGCCCAGTATAAGGTAAATATGGACTATTTTGAACTGTCAAGCATGTTGAGTTCCTCTAGTGGAGCCCAAGAATAAATACAGTGCTCAGCATAAATGAGGTTATTGAACACTTGTTCAACTCCATAACATGAAATTAAGCTTAATAATATAACTTAGATTATAAAATCTTCAGTTTTACTAAAATTGGTGGAAGCAAAAATGAATGCACCCCACAACAAAACTACTACATCTAGTATTTTGTATGACCACCGTGATTTTGAAGGACAGCACCAAGTCTTCTAGGCATGGAATGAACAAGTTGCGACATATTGCAACATCTATCTTTTTCCATTCTTCAAGAATAACCTCTTTTAGAACCTGGATGCTGGATGGAGAATTTCCCACAGGTGTTCGATTGGGTTCAGATCAGGAGACATACCTGGCCATTCAATTACCTTCACCCTGTTCTTCCTCAGAAATGCAACAGTAGCTTTAGATGTGTGCTTTGGATCATTGTCGTGTTGGAAAAGTGCACGACGACCAAGTGCACGGAGTGATGTCATCATCTTCTTCTTCAGAACAGAGCAGTATATTGTTGAGTTCATGATACCATCCCCAACACCAGCAGCACTCATGCAGCCCCACATAAGGACACTACCACCACCATGTTTCGCTGTAGGCACCATGCATTTCCCCTTGAAATCCTCACCTTTATGACGCCATACAGTTTTGAAACCATTAGATCCAAAAACAGTGATCTTTGTCTCATCACTCCAGAGTATAGAGTCCCAGTAGTCTTCATCTTTTTCAGCATGGGCCCTAGCAAATTCTAGGCATGCTTTTTTGTGCATGGGCTTTAGGAGAGGCTTCCTTCATGGACGATACCCATGCATGCCATTCCTCTGCAGTGTGTGCCGGATGGTGTCACAGGAAACGGTCACTCCAGTTTGGCTTTCTACTGCTTTAGCTAACTGCAGTGAACTTCCATGGTGATTTTCCTTAACCCTTCTCATCAGGAGACGCTCCTGTTGAGATGTTAACTTCCGTGGACGGCCTGGACGTCTCTATGAGATGGTTGCACTTCCATCTTTTTTAAATTTTTGGATCACTTTTGCTACAGTATTTTGACTGATATGTAAAGCGTTGCTGATCTTCTTGTAGCCCTCACCTTTTTGTGTAAAGAAATGATTTCCTTTCTCAGATTTTGTGACATTTCTCTTCCAAGTGGATCCATTGCTGGCAGCATGAAATGGGAAGGGCTTTTCTTTGTTAAGTAATGCCCTTTTATAATCCCGTCTGCTGGACACCTCTTAAATGAATCATTAGACTCACCTGTGGTTGAATGCCTGCTAATTTGAATTTTGCAGTCTTAAGTGTGGCTTTTCTCCTAAGACTATAATTGGGGTGTACTCATTTTTGCAACATGGGCTTGAATGAGTTTGTTAGGAAAATCATTTTTCGTGTGTGCAAATTAACTAATTTTGTTTGCAATCAATGGCCCACATTTGTATTATAGTATCTCATAGAAAATGTTGATTCTGAAAGGAAACTAAAGGTTTTCTGACAAATGTAGAGGGGTGTACTCATTTATGCTGAGCACTGTATATTGAGTTAGAAGTGAGCATGATAGCTCCCATTTAATCCCCGAGACTGGGAAGTGAGGAAAGGCAGATTTTATCTCTGGGTGGAAGCAGGACAGCTTTTTCCTCCAGTGCCAAAACAAACGTTATTGGTCCAGCTCTGAATCGAGAGTCGTATTGATATTCTAAAAAACTGAGCAAGAACATGAATAATCACTTTTCCCAAAATGCCAAACATCTATTTCAAGACACTATCTAATGATTTGCCTCATAAATGTGGGCACCAATGAAAGACTCCATCAGAAGCATCTGTAGGCTGCCTTTAACTACAACAGCAAAAGCGAACTGTGGAAAAATGAAGGTAAACTTTAACGTTTTTTTATGTGTGCAAAAAATAGCTTTGGTATTTTGGTATTAAAACGCTGTTGTTTCCACCATCTTTGCCGTTGGATTATTCTCCCAGTCTCTCTCTCTCTCTCTCTTTTCTAATGTCGCTGTTTCTCTGAAAGCTGCTGAAACTTTGGCATGAGCCATTCTTGTGCACTGATAGCAAAAAGCAAGGAGTTAAAAGTATCTTCTAAAGAGTTACACCGAGAACATTTTGACAGAGCAGTTTTTCTCCCACTCTCACGCTGAAATGAGAGCAGTGTTGGTGGACAAGCATGCATGGAGTTATCAGAAGAGAAGATACGGCGAATGGGAGTACGTGCTCAATGCAAGTGTATCATAAAACTCGATGCTGAGGCCAAGCTTCCCCGGCTTGTGTGTGTGTGCGTTTTGTTTTTTCTCGGGCATCTTTGCAGGTGTGAGTGGAGAGATCTCAGAGAGGGCGAGGAGTGACTGCCTTGCCTGTCACTTTGAGGATTAGACCTAAATGCAACTCTAATGCCATATCAGCACTGCTAAACCAACCTCCCTTGCAACAGTGAAGAAGGGGAGGCAATCAGTGTCTAAGGTTAATATTCTTATCAGTTATTCTTTAAACTCCCCTTTAATGATGAAGCCATTTTTCATGGTCGTCTCCACTAGGAGCATCAGGAAAGAAAAATGATTATCTCCGACCGCTACATCTCATGGAAACTCCAACATTTGAGCAGACAAGCAGTTGATTCTCTTTAAAGCAGAATTATTAATAAAGGTGACATATTCAAGATAAGGACACATTGACACTTTAGGACACACTGACATTTTATTGTCTTACAGAGCAGCTCAGTCGAAACGAAACCAAGACATTAATATCCTTGAAATTCCAGACAGACGGAAGCTGCCCTTTTCTTTCTGCTAATGAAGTGTGTGTTGTGACCAAGATCCCAAACCTGCAGACGAAAGGTACTTTCAGTATCTCCAGATTATGTTAAATAAACCCTGAGTCAACTTGAAATGATGTCCACTTTGTTCAGCAGATAGTTTGATGCAAAGGAAATGTGCAAAGATGCCACA